AGTGAGAGTCTGATTGTGCACGAACTGAAAACAGGAAGACAAAAATAAATAAAAAAAATATATATATAAAGAGTTGAATTTCGGAGGAAATGAAGACAAGGAAAATTACCTGCATCATCAGCAGTTGGTTAGACCTAGCTGGGTCAGGAACTGATCTGCTGGATTCGCCCATCCCAGCAGTGGCCTTCAGCGACCAGATCCTTGCCCTGTCTACTTCGGACATGCCAGCAAAATTGCCGAAGTAGGCTGCAGCTCCTTCTCGGTTTTGACCCCATATGAGGTCCCAGATATGGTCTGGGATTGGAATTCGGGGGGCCGAGAAACCCATTTCTCCAGAATGCAGAGTCTGGAAAGAAGGGAAGGATGACGATGGAGCTTGATTAGCTTTGGTTGTCTCAGCATCATCCTTCTCAGAGGAGTCAATTACTATGACCTCCTCTTCTTCAGGGGTGAGGACGAAAGCCTCAACCTCTCTTGCGATGTCTGCCGTGAAGCCCTCAGCACTGGACATCACGGCATCCTTATTTTCGTGCTCAGCAGCACTCTTCTTGATTTCTTCTTGGACCCCTCCCTTAGGTTCGGGAGTTCTCTGATCCACCTCCATCTCAGGAGGTGGCGGAGGGGTCTTTTGAGGTGATTGGGGTGGTGGCTGGGGAACCCTCGGCGATCCGTTGCCTTCCTCGGGTTCCCTTATTGCGACGCCGATGGTCATCGGCCTCCGCTGAAAGTCATGAGGGCCGATGATGGCCATCCTTCGGCGCCTTTTCAGAAGGGGCTGCTCGTCCATATCTGAGTCTGAAGACTCTTGTATTTGGTCTTCGGGACGAACAGGAGCTTTGCCTTCTCTGTGTCTGTTACTCTCTTCAGACTGTAACAGACAGGGGGGAAGAAGAATGTGAGTAAAAAAAAAAAAAAAAAAAAAAAAAAAGAAAAGAAAAAAGAAAAAGTTGTCTGAAAGCTCACCGAGGTCTTCAGCAAAGCCTCATCTTCTTCAGCTGCTCTAGCTGCAGCTTCGGCTTCAACAGCTCTGGAGGACCCTTCTCCTCCTTCGCAAGCTTCGAGTACCCGTGCAACCTCTTCGGCTGTGCGGGCAGCTTCAGCTTATTCGTCCAGCAGCTGAAACCGAGGGTCTCTCTTCTTCCACCAAGGCTTCTGCCTCTGATATAGAGCAACAGCCTCAATTTGGAAGTGGGAAGAGTCTAGATGAACTTCCCTATGCCTCGGCTCAGTGATAGACGGGGCCTGTTCAGTTACAACTCGCTCTCGGTTGACACCAAGACGAGCGTAGTTAATGCCAACGTTGGTCTCGTCCCGCTCTGAAAAAAGGAAAGGGGAAAGGTTAGCTCAGATAGATCGGCACAGCATAAAAAAGCAAAGCGAGAGAAGAAAAAGAGGTAGTTAAAAAGCCTCGGCCCCAGCCGAAGAAGCTTACCATCCTTAAACTTTCGGCTGAGGCCAACAGCTGCTAGCATGTTCTCTTGGAAAACGTAATGCGTATCAGGGAGCCAAGTCTCCGGGATATGCTGCATTCGACCACTCCCCCCCCGGTTCGGCAGCTTGCCGAAGATATGTTGCTGATCCAGGTTCGGATCCGCCCCGTTATCTGCGGGGGGACCTAGACTTCCCATTTCGGGATCAGGCTCAGCTAGGTACCGGGGAGCGTTGAAGACGCAAGGGTGGCCCGGATCTGTGGGTGCCCTAACCCAAATCCATTGACCTCTCCAGTCCTTGTCTGAAGAGTCGTTCGGCCACATGGTCAGGTATTGGGGCCGGGACTCAATCCGGTACCACCCAGAACCATGGCTTCCGTGCCCACTTTGAATATTTGGCACTAGCCGATGGAGCTTTTTGAAGCAGTGCAGGTTCGGCACGTACTTGAAGAACTTGCAGACCCATAAGTATGTCATCACCCTTCGGATGCTGGTGGGGGTTAGCTGACATAGAGAGATGTTGTAATGGATCAGTAAGTCTCGGACGAATACGTCCAAAGGGAACCTCAGCCCGTACTGAAGCTGTCTCGTGTACACCCCCACATACCCCGGGGGTGGACGATGGATTCTATCGGATGCCGAGGGCATTCGGCACCAATACCCATCAGCTTCAAAAATGCCGTAATGCAACTCAATTTGCTCGGCAAATCGATATTGATCGGCGTTCTCTACCCACCATGAGTAGGGGCGGTTCTTTATCATGGCCGAAGCGACTTCGGCATTCTCCCATTCTGAAAACCCAGGGAGGATATCCCAAAGGACAGCGGGAACTTCGTCATCCCGTCCAGAAGCGCTCGGCTCATCCGTTCTTTGAGGAGGAGCCGAGGAAAAGGGAGTCGCCCTAATCCCTTCAGCAGGGTCAGACTCCGGCCTTTGACCATTCCAGGTCCCAATCCTGTTCCTAGGATCGGGAATCGGCCTTGCTCTTCTTGGAGCACGGGCTCTACCTCTAACTCCTCTTGCCATTGATTGTTTCGAAGAGAAAAGTCGAAAGAAAAGGGGAAGGAGTTCGAATTCGAAGAAAAATAAACTGAAATCAAAGGAATTTACCTTAATTTGAAGCGAAAGTTGCCGGTTTACGAGTTCGTAGTGGCAAGTCTCAGTTTCTAAGCTTAATGCTCGGGGAATTTGCGAAGTTTTGATGCGGGTTCTTGGTTTCTCTCTTGAGAATTCTGGGTTTGTGTTGGTGAATAAGTGAGGAGAATGACGCGCCTCTGTTTATATCTCCAGGTACGGGATACGAGGAGTCTGTGTTTTAATTTCTCTTAAATACCCACTAAGTAACCATTAAACACATGATCTTGCGATTAAATTGCCCATTATCCGTCCAACTTCCGCAATCATTAACCGTTGTTATCTCATTAATTACGGTTTAAATTCAAATTTTTGGATCAATTAAATCATTTACTCCCTCATTTTCTGAATTAAATCAAACCCGACCCGTCATCCTTCCAAATCGGGTCTGGGGGGCAAGTTGTTTGGGTCCAATTTAGTCAAAATTGGGCCTAAGCACTAAATGATCCAATTAAAAGCCCAAGGTCAAGGTTCAACTCTCCAATTGTGCAAAAGTCAAAGGTCAGCCCACAAAGCAAGCCAATTGGGCTAAGGCCCAACCTCTCCATGTATGATGAGGTATAAAAGCCATCATATTGACACATTCACATATTCACGTTCATATTCATATTCTGATTCATATGCTCATTGATATATTGGGATATATTCCATAAAAGCCTCAAGCTACAAATTCTCTTGCATAGTGTCTTCTTTTTACACATTGTACTGACTTTAGCATCGGAGGGGCCTTCCTCGGCAACACCCCCGAGGCTAGTTTACGTGTGTTTACTGTGCAGGAAACCTTCGGCCCAACATAACTTGGACCGAATCCAGTCTTCTCCATTTCAGCGGACCTTCGGCAAGGTCCCATTGTTTTCACCCGAAACACGAGCCAAGTCAAAAATTTGTCGTACCCAAATCAAATTTTCAACCATTAATAAATTGTACCCGATTCAGACGACAAAGTATAAAATTCGTTATTTATATACGAGTTCAACTCATATGTGTAGTACGCTAGTACTACACAAAAATATCTACTTCAAAAAAATATATATATATATATATATATATATATATATATATATATATATATATATATATATATATATATATATATATATATATATATATATATATATATATATAACTTTGATGTCCGCAAGAGGGGGAAAAACCCACCCACTTGCATGCCCACTTGCCTCCTACAATTAAGAATATGGATGGCATAGTATCAAGTCACTTCTATAACTAGCCATGACTACCTCACTCCATTTCATCCTCCAAGATCCCCTTCATACTCCTCTCTACTACTTCCTCTTCTTACTTTCTTCCTCCTACTAGCTTCTTCCTCCTCCATACTCACCTCCTTTTTAGCTTTCATCCGTGGTCTTGGGCTCCTCACGATCACCCACCTCGCTGCCACCAATCTGCCGCCACTCAACCAACGTCGTGCCGCCACCTCCTTCCTTGTTGTTGTTGACGTAAGTCCCAAGCTATTGCCATACTTCTCGAACTTCTATTATACACTACTATGTCTTACTACTAATTACATACTACCTAGAGATGGCAATGGATCGGATTCGGATCGGGTGGAGCTTCACCCGCATCCATCCATTACTTTAATCGCTCCATCCATATCCATCCATCATCCGCTTCACCTATCATCCATATCCGTCCGTCCATCATCCGCGGATGAAACGGGTGGAGCGGATGATTAATGGATAAGTATTAAAATGGAAAAAAAAACTCACATAAACTCTAAATTCGGTTATTTGTACAATATTTTTTTTATTTTATTAATTAAAAATGAAACAATAACAATATATGTTTAAAAAATTAATTTGCAACATAAAAAATAAGTAATTTTCTTGCACATTTCATATTTTATTATTAAAATTCTTAAATTAAAAAATCTAATATATGTTAAATGGGTGGGTGGATGGTTAGCGGATGAAAAAAGTGTCATCCACATCCGATCCGATCCATCACCCGCTTCATCCGTCACCCGCTTTTCATCCATTTAATTCGGGTTTTCGTCCATATATTTATAGCGGGTGGAGCGGGTTTGTGGATATCCACTTAATATTGTCATCCCTAATACTACCTGCTAGGCTATTACTAATCATGTATTACTTACTACTTATTTTGTCACTATTATAATCAATGATAACTATCAACATTCACTACTGCTACTACTCTTATTCCACGTACTACTATTACTACCTTTCCATTTATTATTATTATTATTATTATTATTATTATTATTATTATTATTATTATTATTGATGTTAGTATTGTAGTTGTTGCTGCTGAGTTGCTACTACTACAATTACTACTATCATACTACTACTTACCTACGTATCACTACTACTACTCTTATTATTATTAATAGTAATATTATTATTATTATTATTATTATTATTATTATTATTATTATTATTATTATTATTATTATTACGGATAGTTAAAGATTATTTTATAAATACAAGTGTTAATAAATTGGTCATGCACAACAAGTCAAAGTCGGTATTTTAAGTCTTCGTGTCTATAGGTTGAAAAGTATTTGATTAGGTGTAGGGAATAATTTCAAGCCTTTAAATCCCAATAACTTGAACCCCACTGTGATCATAAACTAAAGTACGGTGGCGTCCAAAAGGGAAGAAGATAGAGCAAAAGAGTCGCCAACAAGTTTTTTTAGGAACTTGTAAACCGTTCACGAGGTGAAGGTTACATCCCTTAACGATCCAAGAGATCGTCAACTCCATAAGGTCTAGAACCAAATAAGGGTTCGGGGATGAAGGTACAAATCCAACCTAAAAGAGATTGAACCTGCCCTAATAATAGGCCTCTACTTTATTCTGATCGTATTCATGTGCGCTTTCTGATTAACATACAATCAATAGGATTAACCCTAAACCTGTTTATCTATGTTGGTTGAATTTAATGCACAAATAAATCTATTATTGGCGATCACTTGAAATTATAATCATATTTACCCTAACAAGATTATTAATTATCTTATTAAGCGTGATTACAAGTACCAATTCCCTTTAAACATGCATAAATGTGTGTTCAAGCAATAAATAAAAATAATATCAAACAACATAATAATAATCAATATCATGATATTAATAAAATTATAATCATAAAAATAATAATCATAAATAAAATAATCATCATCAAAATAATATTCATAATCATCATAAATCATAAATTATAATAATTATAATCATAATCATGTTCATGTTAACATTAAAGCATAATAATAGCAAGATCCTAGGCATGATACTAACAAGATTAATAACAAACCCTAGCATGTCACTAAGTAATAAAAATAAAATCTTTAACCCTAACATGATACTAACAATCATGAATATTAGGAAGAACATAGGAAGCATCACAACAATCATATTTAATATTAAAATTACCCTAGACATGATACTAGGAATATCATAATAACAATGTAAACATGATGTCTACATCATAATATCGATAAAACCAATTAAACTACTTACTTTGATGCCTCGTACCTCTTTCTAATAACAAAATACACACGTTAGTAACTTCAAGGAAAATAATAAACAAAACAATTAAATTAAATAATTGAAAGAGAGATTTGGGACCAAACCCTCATAAATTAAACCTTTCACGTCTAGGGCGAAGGCAACTTCGAATATGGCTAGGTGTTTCTAGATCTTGTGAATGCGGAATTTTGTATGAAAAAGCAAAGTTTGGAAGAAAGAAAGAATTAGAGAATTAAAGATTGCGAATGAAAACTGATTGTAGGTGAATTGGTGAATGATAGATGTAGATGATTGTAGATGAATGAGGAGAATTGATGAATGAAAACGGAGTTTTTAATACGATATTTATAGAGAAAATCAACCAAAAAGATAAATTAAACAAAACAGAGTCAGACGCGAAGAAAACAGAGCTGGCGCCAACCCTGGCTAGCTGGCGCCAGGCACCAACACTAGCGCCAGGCGCCAATGGCTAGCGCCAGGCCTGGTTCCAGGCGCCAAGGCCTGGGGTTAGGCGCCAAGCTTGATTTTAACGCGTTTTTGAAAATCAGATAAATTTACCGTACTGGAGGATAAAATCATATAATTTCCTCAAAAATACTATTTGATTTTAATTAAAACTCTGAAAAGTCAAAAGTCAATTTATCAATGCTAATTGAATTAGGAATGAAAAGAACATTCTAGAAGATTCTAGAAGACTAAAACTATTCCTAATTGCATTAGGAATGATAAATCATATTAGGCCCTCCCCAAGATCATTGGGCCGTACATAAAGCTCAAACCGGGCCCAGTTTAGAAAATTGGCCATAACTTCCCAATATTCATCGGAATTGGGCTTATAATATATCGTTGAAAAGGTCTTTGCAAGCCCCATCCAACTACACTACTATTGGACCCATATCATGGACCAACCAAACTGGATTGGTTGTTTTCTTAAAATAGGTTTTCAAAAACAGAGAGAAGAGAAAAGAAATTAAAACTTTCCGCAACACTAGACTTTCCAAACTTTCGCTTCATTCGATTATGATTCGACGTGAAAGGTACTCATCACTGGGTTTGGTTTTGGGGAGACACAAATGGGTGTCTACATTAGGATTATTGGTTTGTTATAGGAGGAATTTCGGGTTCGAAATTAGGAGCTCCGTAATTGTGTGCAAAGATCGAGGTACGTACACGTGACTAGATCTTTTAAAAAGTGGCTTTTATATGCAACGTGTTTTACATGTTAAGTGATTTCGAACTGACAGGGTAAAGTCGTATCCCCTAATAACAAATAATTACCTAAGTCCTCTAACTAAAGTAGATAGGGAAGTAGGGTCGAACTCCACAGGGAAACAAGTCTTTTTACTCCTAATTAATTATAATAATCTAAATTATCTAAGTAACCAATATTTTTGTGAATAAAATCTAAACTACGAAGAATAAAGTTGAAAGGAATAAAATAGGGAGAAAATCAAATATTAAAAGGCCTAGGGCATAGGTTCACTAATAAACAATATTCCAGGGCAATTCATAATAAGCAATCATCAAGCATTGGTTAATCAGATTATAAAGGGCTTTTGCTACATATTATAATCACAGAGTTAATTTACCGGTATTAAATCTCATCTGTCGAATCTCGACTTAACCATTTATAAATTAATCCTCCTATTAAAATTAGGAAAAATTGCCCGCAATAATCCGACATTTTGGCCGTCCGCTGAAATTAATCCCACCTTTGGATTATTTTTAAATAATCCCACCTTTACCCCCGATCTTCTCCCAATGGTCCCAAGTTACCGATTACCTGTTACAAAGGTAATTTTTTTTTTGGATTTAAAAGACACGTGTCACCATACAATTTGTCTAAAATTTAAAATTAAAAAAATGAATTTAAAAAAAAAAAAAGGAGCCGCCACCTCCTCCGATCCACAATACTCCACCAGCCCCAGCCACCACAATACTCCACCAATCCACCTCCTCCGATCCACCATACCATCAGAACGGAGCTCGCGTGACGGGGGAAGGAGAGCGGTGGGCTGAGCGGCAGAAATCGAGGCAGCGCAAGGGGGACCGTAGTCGTGGTTTCGTGACGGAGGGAGGAGGTTCAGCGACACTTGATTTCACGGAGGGAGGAGGTTCACCGGATTTCGTGACGGAGGAGGAGGTTCGAGGGTGGTTGAGGAGAAGGGGGTTCACGCGCCTAGTTTCGTGAGGAGGCAGGTGGTTCGACGGTGGTTCAAAGGGAGGCAATCCTGGTTTCGTGAGGGTTTGAGGGTGGTTCAAGGGGGAGATTTCGTGAAGGAGGAAGGCGTTCGAAGTGGTTCAGGGGAGGGGGTTCAACGGTGGTTCATGGGAGGGTGGCAGGTGAGGTCGGCGCGCCGGGAACGGTGGCGGGGGTTCAGCGCGCCTGGATCGGTGGTAGAGATGGTGGTTTGGCTGGTGGGTGGTTTCTAAAAATAATTATTTGTTTTTTTTAATTTTTAGACTAATCAGGTGCCGACACGTGTCAAGTAACTTTCTATAACAAGTTAATTAACCGGTTGGGACCAATAAAAAAAGAAGGGGGGGGGTAAAGGTGGGATTATTTAAAAATAATCCATAGGTGGGATTATTTTCAGCGGACGACCAAAAGGTCGGATTATTGCGGGCAATTTTTCCTTAAAATTAAGCCTAAATATCAATTCTCATCTGTCGAATCTCGAATTAATATTGCTAAACTCATACAATTAAATCTGGCCAAACCTAATTGCATAGCATTAAAAAAATCAATAGGAAATCAACCAAGCATTGATAATTAACAATCATAAAATTACCTCTTCATATCATTTATTAGATCCCCATAAACCTTAGAAATTAAACTACTCACAAATCATCATGACTAAACTAATCAAATAAATAAATAAAAGCATAATCAAGAAAGCAAATAAAATAACTGAAATTAAAAGGGAAGAAATTGTTACCAAAAAGAAATCTGGAATTAAAGGAAGAATTAAGAACAAAAGTTGAGAAAGAATTTAAGAGAGAGAAAAATACTAAGTAGAGAGAGAAAGTCTAAGAAAGAAGGTAATCTAATAATCTGTACAAAATCGTACTTAAATGTTTTCTAAAACAAATGTTAAGGCTAAACTAATCAGGTCTTTTAAAAACGCACGCCCGATCGGGCGCGCCTTTTTCTTCGCGTTCCTTCCCATCAGCGTCGCCCGATCGTGCTAGAGGCTCGCACGATCGGGCGCGCTATAGCACGCACAACACCTTGGTCTTGCCGCGCTCGATCGTGCTAGAGGTTGCCCGATCGGGCGATTGCTTCTCCTTGAGGCTTGGAATTCGATTGGGCTTGATTTCTCGGCCCAATCCGGATTTCCTCCTCGGGTCTTGAATACTTGGTCCAAATGCCTCAGGATCCCAATTACCGAGCCCTTAATCACCGGCTCTCACCGATCATGGGCTCCAAAAGTGGTCTTGTCCTTCTAGCTTCCGTAGTTGATCCATAAAGCCCGGGAAAATGCTCCAAGAGTGCAATTTCCTGTAAAATACAACTAAAACTACGAAAACACTAGAACACACAAATTAGTTATAAAAGTGGCCCAAAAGAGCCAAGAACACTACTAATAACGACCAAGGGACGGGGGAAAAACACTATATAAAATGGACATATCAAACTCCCCCAAGCCAAACCTTTGCTTGTCCCTAAGCAAAGAGCTCATCAATGAACATATAAAACATACTTCACCCCAATAATCAAATCAAGCACCAACGATTCAAGGCAAATCTAATGAACATGCTTCAACATCAATCAATCTTATTCATCTAATCACCCTTTCTCCCCAACAATTGTCAAGTAGAGCAAACCACAAGAGCATATAGAATTCAAGACTAGTGCTCACACACTCAACTCTCATTTATGTGGCGAGTAAAAGATGTACTCGATCACTCTCCAACCAACCCCTTTAATGTGAACAATGCCCTCCCAACTCACACTCTCGTGTTTATAAAAACAATGAACGCTCATCCTACTAGTCGACTCAAAATATGCCAAGTCATAACTTGCATTGATAAACAACACTTTCACATTTACATAACTTCTAAGCACAAGGTCGGAAGGTCTTTAAAGCTTATAATGTAAGGCTAGGGTAAAGGTAGGATAAATTTGGGATTATGTGAGAGAAAAGCTATGCATTAAGGGAGCCAAAACCTAATAAACCCATGATCAAAATAAATGATGATCATACATCTCCATCAACATAACTAACTCCAACAAAAACCACCAAATACAACTTTAATCATCATAAACAATCCCAACACTCACAATAATCACTCATAAAAATATGATAATGTAGAACTTTGAGTGAAAAACAAACTTTGAACTCATTCTTTTTTTTTCTACTTGAATTTTTTCTTCTTTTTTTTCTTTTGAACAACCTTCAAATAGAACACTTGAGCATTAATTTTTTTTTCTTTTGTTCTTTTTTTCTTTTTAACTCATATTGGAAAAATTTAACTTTGAAACACAATATCAATATTTTCCAATCAAAAATCAAAGAACAATAACTCTTCTTTTATTCCCACATTGTGCAAATAATATGCACACCACAACTCCCTCACCTTACCAACTAATAGCTCCCCCAAGCCAAGCTTGGGACTAGTAACCAATGAGGCTCATATAGGCTTGTAATGTGGCTAAATAAACAATAAAAGGGCACAAGCAACAACATGGGTAACAAGAAGGGAACAAATGTATCTAATACTCTGAAGGCTACCTAAAAGAATGAACGCCTTCGTCCTCCTCATGTGCATAATAATAAGTCATGAAACACTACTCATAGTTGCTAATCAATACTCAAATTCATTGACATACCAGGAATTATGGAACTATCACACATTTCCTAACCAAATCAACTAGTCAAGCACTATATTCACAAATAGTTGGCAAAATTGACTCATGTTTAGGAATCCAAACAATTAAACTTCAAATCATGACCAACAAATCCACAATGCTCATTATCAATAACCAAGAATCAAAACAAATTTTTCTCAAGTATAGGGCACAGGGAAGTATGATTCATAATTCATTGGAACGTATTTTTGAATTTTTTTTTATTTTTTCAATTTTTTTGTATTTTTCATATATAAGAAAGCAATAAAAACTACACTAGGAAAGCAATAAAAACTATACTAGAAAGCAAATAAAGAGAGAAAAGGAAGAGAATTACCAAGTGAAAGAACACCCCCCCAAGCCAAATCAAGCAATGCCCTCATTGACTTGGGAGTGTAGCCTACTCCTCATCCTCATCCATCCTCGAATATCCCCCTCCGTGGCTAGAACCGGCTCCTCCATGGCTAGAGCCACCACCTCCATAACCCGAACCACCTGCAAAGTAGTTAGGGTCCACATTCCCCCCAATTCCACCAAAAGGTACATCGGTCCCATAACCATGGACCGATGAGTAGTCGACATAGGTACCAAAGGCACTTGGGTTCGTATATCCACCTTGCGGATATTGGAACCAATCAGGGACAAGTGAAACGGGGGGAATAGCCCCCCGACGGGCGTAGTCATCATACATGGGGTATAAACCCCTCCCTAGGTTCCTCTCCACGTACCCTACCCTTCTATCTAGAGACCCTACTCTAGTGTCCAAATCCCTAACCAAGCCCTCAACTCTCCCTTGCCTCGTCTCAATCCTATCTAATTGGCTCCTAAAAGCCGAGAAGTCATAAGGGGTGTTGGGGTCTATGTTGTAGTTGGTAGAGGAAGTGGGAATATCGTATGTAAAGGGTTGAGGTGGTGGATAATGTGGTGAATGGTGAGGAGGTGAGTGGTCAATAGGAGAGTGATGGGGTTGAGGTGAAGGGTGAGGTGGTTGCACCTCACCTTGACCGTTAAGCTCGAAAGTGTAAGAAGGCTTCCCCTTCTCAAATTTGGTCAAGGTGGGGTGGGGTAAAGTGAAAGCATTATCCCTCCTACCCGATTCCCGTTGAATCACCCACAAAGTCTCCCCTCCCATGACATTAATCCAATTAAGGCCACCTAGATAGGGTAAGTCCATAATAGTTGGGCCGACTACCTTACCGTCGTCGTTAGGGACAAAGCTAAGGTGTTTGACTGCTATGTGTGTAACTAGGCCACCAAAGTAAATGGGTACCCTAGACCTACCCGCCTCGGCCGCATTGGCCACCCGTTGG